ATTTGACAAATTCAATAACATTATAACAATTTAATTAATATCACCGAGAAGAAAATATTTTTGCTCAGGGACGACTTTATCTGCAACCAATTTTAAATTGACCCCCTTACAAATACTTATTCCGTGCAGCATTCGAACCTGTGACCTTTAGTGCCGCAACTCAATGCTAGCCACTGCTCCGCGAGCTGTCAATGTTGTTTAAATGACATGATTATAATTTAGTTACTTACAGAATATATTTACAAATAAAAGAAATTGTTAAAATAGTGTCTTAAAAATAGGATGGTGGTGGTTCATTAAAAAAAACAAGTTGTATTTAATGTTTATAAATTTATAAGGCTGTTTGAAATTTAGGGATTGGTTGACCAATGCTGGGATACATGATATAAATAATGATTTGATAATCTCTAATTTTCAGATCACATTAGCTGACCTTAATTTGGAACAAAGGAATGTCATTCAACATATTGCATCAACTAATAAACAACCACTGTCTGAAAATATTCAGAAGACTATAACTGTTTCAAATGTATTTGAGCCTGTTGCGGGTCCGTCAAAATTTATACAACCCTTGTGTGAGAGTGTAAATTATAAAACCATTCCTGACATAACTAGTGATATTCCTCAAGTAACTGAGAATATCAACCCTGTTGCTGCTGCAAATCCATCCACGAAAAACAAAAAGGATAAAGATATGTTGATAAAAATGAAATATCATCTGAGAAAAATTAACAGGCTTCAAAAAACTGTAAAGCATCTAAAGAATGAAGCATTTCTCAAAGTATTGAGCAAAAATGATTCCGTAAATGAAATATTAAAATGTAAAATATCCCCCTCTTTTGCATTATTTTTGCAAGGAGAATGGCAAAACTATAAAAAAAAATCATAAGGTCGAAGATGGAACATGGACTCCAAAATAATAGCACTAAGACTGTATAAAAGGTCACCTAGGTGTTACAAATTATTAAGTAGGATGATTTGCCTGCCAACACCTAGTTCATTAAAAGCGTTATTAAGCAAGTTTCACATGAAAGTTGGTATTAATGACCAAATTTTTAATGTTTTTAAAAAAACAATAAAGCAACAGACTCCCTCAGACAATGAGTATATCCTTATGTTTGATGAGATGTCAATAAAAAAGTATTTGTTTTACAACAAAAAGGAGGACATAATTGAGGGTTATCAAGACCATGCACTGCAGAGCAGGTCACCACAAATGGCAACACATGCCCTCGTGTTCATGATTGGCGGAATCCGTAAAAAGCTGAAACAACCAATTGCTTATTATTATTCTAAGGAGGTGAGCATTATGGTCTTTTATTTGTTATTATGTCAATATATGTAGTAGTACTTTTTTACCATATTAATTTACCCTTTTATCATTCTAGGTCCTGCAACATTGTTTTGATGCTGGAATTAATATTTCAGCTACAGTGTGTGATATGGATGGTGTGAATAAGAGAGCTTTAAGTATCTTGGGAGCATCTGTAGAACAGCCATATATTCTGCTAAATAATCGAGAAGTGGTTACCATTTTTGATACTCCGCATTTGCTCAAATGCTTTAGAAATATGTTTTTAAAATATGACATTAAATATCCAACAAATATAACATCAAATGATCAAATTGGATTTGGTAAGATATTTTGTTTTATTACAATCATAATATTATACATATTTCCAATTTACTGGATATTTACACAAATTTTTTTTACAGGTGTTGCTAAATGGAGCCATATAAAGGAGTTTTATGAAACATATAACACCAATCCCAATTTTGTGTTTGCACCTTGCTTAAAACAAGAACATTTAAATCCAAATATGAAGCAGAAGATGAAGGTGAAGCTAGCTGCACAAGTGTTAAGCCACTCAGTTGCTGCAGGAATGTATGCTAAAATTTCACAAGGTAAATTAAATTTATAATTTAAAGTATAATATTTAAACATATGTCCACCCATTAAAATAATTATTAACTTAAAAAGGAACTAGGCTCTCCCAAGTACAAATTATTGTTTATTGTGTGATACTAATATGTGATATTATTTTTGAGTTGTCTTGTAACATACTTTAAATCATGTTTCTTTAATCCTAATAGTAAGATCTTAAATTATGTGTTGTTTACAGGGGAACTCTCTTCAGAGGCTGTCACTACAGCTAATGTTATTGCAAATATGGACAAGCTGTTTGATTGTGTCAACGCATGCTCACCAGACCTAAGAAGGGGGAAACCATATTCGACAAACATGACAAATAATACACCACATCTCACACATTTCACTTTAATGAAGAATTTTTTTAAAGAAATGACGTTTTTGGGATGCATTACGAGCTCCTCCATCCCAAGAAGGTTGGATATGGTCTATCAATGGAATAGAACGAATTTGGAGAAATCTCAGTTCCAAACATAAATCAATAAAAAGTTTGGAAACAAGAAGGCTCCAGCAGGACCCGTTAGAAAATCTTTTTGGATGCATTCGGGTCAATTGCGGCTGCAATTCAAATCCCGCTGCTGGGCAGTTTGTTGCGGGTCTTAAAACGGCTGTCCTTAGCAACTTATCTTTTATTGGGACAGGAAATTGTGAAGAAGACCAAAATCAAGTTATATTGACAAATTTTAAATCTTTATTGTCTCCACCCACAGACACACACACTGCTTATGCCACAATTTTAACCGATGAGTTAGAAGAAAGTGTAAATTCTACATTTGAATGTAGCTTGGAAGAAAGCAGTGGCGAAATACAAGCATGTGCCTATGTCTGTGGGTTTATAGTAAAAAATAATCTCAACAAATGTGAAATTTGTAAAAAAATTTTTGTATCTGAGACACAAGAGAGATCACATACTTTTATTGACTTTAAAGAATATAGTGATCTAAAAAAGTCCCTTAAATACGCCTCTAAAAACCTCATTAACTGTATTGAAAGTAGTGCTACGATGATTTATGATTTTTTAGAGGCAGAAGCATATAAAAAAAAATTAAAAGGGACAATTAAAGTTTTGTTCAAAAACTCAATAAATTGGGAGTTTCTCGATGAATGTCCAGAACATAAAGATATGAATATAGATTACTTATTTAATAGCGTATTTCACATTTGTATGAAGAGATTTTGTATTTTGAAAAATCGGCAATTTGCAGAAGAGTACTCTGCATCTGCTCTTAAAAGAAAAATTGATATCCTGCAGAATAAATAAGATATTACATGGAACTACTTTTTCTATATGTACAGTCATAATCACTTCAGTGGTGACATTATATAAGGAGATAAAAGGAGAGGGAGGATTTGTCCTCTCTCGAGAGAGGCTGCCAAGGAGTGACTAGCGCTGATGAGGCTATGGATGTGTGTAAAAGTGTACCCGTAGTCCTGCCGATAAGTGGTGAAGATGAAACATCTGAGAGTTTTAGTCGGAGTGGGTCAGATATTCCTTGCTTCCGTGAGGCAGGTAGGATTTAAATTTAAGTTTTTTTTTAAAATATTTGCCATATAGAGCCACTTTTGGATTTCGAATATAGTATTTTCGAAACTATCACTTTACTGGTGCGAATCATACCTTACAGTCTTTTTATCGTTTAATGTCGGATAGTTTATTAGTCACCCTACAAACAATCGTATTGCTATGCAACTAACTTTTAAGTTTACTGTGGGATATGGATATCACATACATTTGTATTTTTATAGAATTTAGCAAGTAAATGCTGTGACACTTGGACATCTACCTGTATTATCGAAAAATAATAATAACTACTTAACTATTAAATCGATATTTAGTTAAGAGCTGTTCAGAACTGTTTACATGCATAAAGTTAAAAATTAGTTAATTACGTATATATCCATGTAACATCTTATTTATTCTGCAGGATATCAGTTTTTCTTTGAAGAGCAGTTTGCAAAAGAGGGGGATATTTTACATTTTAATATTTCATTTACGGAGTTATTTTTGCTCAATACTTTGAGAAATTCTTCATTCTTTAGATGCTTTACAGTTTTTTGAAGCCTGTTAATTTTTCTCAGATGATATTTCATTTTTATCAACATATCTTTATCCTTTTTGTTTTTCGTGGATGGATTTGCAGCAGGTAGTGCTAATTAATGACATGAAAATGTTGACTTATTAGTTTTTAATGCAGTCAATAACAATAACATAACGAAAATAATTTCTACAAATGTAATATTATTGGTGGCATCTATAATATAATCAGGTTATTGGAGTTTAGACATAATATTGCAAAGCTATTGCCTTGTTTGTAGAATGTGAAGGTAAATAATGTTTTCTTGTTAGAAAAAAGTGTTTATATTAGATTGTCTAATCTTTTTTATATAAAACCAATGTACCTTTACTTTCCATTTTGCTTAAATGTCATGTTACATATGCCATGTTAAAAATTAGTTAATTACTCCGTCACTTACGTCCATCAATATACCAACGGTTTTTCTATGTACCAATGTAGACAAGTATGTAATGTAAATAAAAATTATGTATTTCAAAAACCACTTTTATTTGAAAAATAGTTCCTTTTTTATATTAAAATGATTGCTAATCGTTTCAAAAGTGGTTTATGAATGTAAAGTACCATAATTTACAAATAACTTTGTGCTTTTGTTTTCGTTTTAATTTAGCAATATATATCATTGAAACGAAAAACTACAAGCTATATCTATCTATATGGTATTTTACATTCTTAAGCCATTTTTGAAACGAAACAACCAAGACGACAACTAAAAAAAAATCACGTGTCAAAATTCCCGCGCAAAAAGTTTTAGGGGGCACGACAGAGATGGCGTGCATTATGGGTGCCATTTTCTTTGTTTGAAGTTGACATTCTTCCCGCCTAAGGGTATTAGTGTTCTGTGAATACCATCCTTTATCGTGAATGGTTGCTTAGTAACGGTCGTGAAGGAAACAAAACATTCAATTGTCTGTCTCTTGACAGTTTTAGTTCTATTTAAAGTATTTTGGAATCATTTTTGCGAGCATTTTTTGTTGATTAATTAAATCAGTTAAATGGATATACATAAAACAATAAGTACTATAAGTCCAAATCTGGAAAAAGTGATAGAAGAGGCAAGCTGCCAGTGCGAATTAGGCCGTGAAAAAATATTGACTGCACCACCTTATACGCGAGGATGTTTCATTCAAGGGGACGAGGCCAAATCTCGATACTCAACTGCGCCGTGTGCAAGAGATTTCGAGCAATTTAAATGTCCAGTCAGCCACACATTAGTCACCTTCAAGTCGCCTATGCATCCCAATGAAGTATTCAGTAAAGTCTTCCCGACAAATTCACCAATCAAATTTGTCAAACGCAAATTGTCCAAACTATTATCAGTTTCAAATAGCAACTTACTATTAACCAAAAATCGTACTGTCCTTAAAGAAACCACCTTATTATCCGATTTGAAATCCGACACTCTTAATAATTTGATAATCGATGTGTACACAAAAGATTCAGAAGAGTTTAGCTTGTCGTCGATACCAAAAGAAAGCTACGTTCATGAACTTCTTCATTCAATCCTGCCGAAGAAAAGAACTTTACCTTTTATAGCAATAAAGTTTAGAATACGCAGCCAAAATTGCACATTCACACGGTCGTATCACTCTATTATTAAAATTCACGAGATAAAAAAGAACTTGGCTGGACTATTTCAAGTAGACCACGATAACCTTGTTTTATTACGCGGGGAAAGCGCCTTAAAGGACCGCATGGCCCTTTTGGATCTGGATTATAACAAGTATGGAATAGCCGAAGTCGAATTATTAACAAAAGACAATAAAAAATTGAATTTGGATAAGTTATATAAGGAAGTGCCAAATAACGATGTCTTAGCCGTCACTGTACCTTTTGGCAGTACTTTAAAACAAATAAACGTTGAAATATTTTCTGAGCCAATTAACAAACCATTTTTAGGTGGATACAAGAATATTCACACAGGTATTACCTACTTTTAATTATTAAAATACACAATTTATTACAACCCATCCATTCTTACAAGAGAAATATAAATATGAATTATATTTTAGGTGTCATTTATCACCATGCCTACACACAAACACCTCAAAAGCCGGAGAAAGTATCTCCAGAGAATAAAAATTGCAGAGATACTCAAACAACCGAAGAAAGAGAAAAAATCGTGGTAAGTTTAAGATTATCAGTTCTTTCCGTTTTAGAAATTAGTATTTGCGCATCCCCGGAAGCGCGGTTTGTAGTGTTAGATAAGGCAAATTTTCATAGTCATGTTTAAATCTCCTAGTCTGCATTAAATAGGAATCCAATTCATTACCAATTTATCAAACATTCACATATACATACATTTTACGTGCAACGAAGTTACAAAATACTCGTGGTAGAGCCACGCCGCAGCTATATTATGGTTGTAGCACGGATGGGTCGGCTCGACCGGGGAAGGACTACGCTCTTATAGAACACCAGCATAAAATAGCAGCTTGATGCTCCTGTGCTTCGTATGGTGAGTGTAGAGAACCGGAGATCCTTTTTACTGGAAACGAGGCATTTCATTTTAGTCCTCAGGGGTGATAGTGTATCTGCATTTTGATTCTTAATAGAAGGTAAAATCTACAGGCCATAGCATCCACTTACCATCAGGTGGACTGTGTGCTCGTCTGCCAGCCCCATTCTATAAAAAATAGTTCTTACTAACATGACTGCTCATTGTGATTTATATACGATTACCCATTTATTAAATAGGTTACAGTTATTATACTACGTAACAAAATTCTAATATGGTAGAGCTCTTGCGCGAGGGCATTATCCGCGCGCATGAGCGTGAGTGAGACATGTATTCATATATTTTTTGAAAAAGACTGACTGGAAAATGGCCCACTGGCCAAGCTAGCAGGTAGACATGAGATCATAGTACATACTAACACTACTCAATCATACACATTTCGTTCGTCAGAAAATAAGTGACGTCTGGTGGCCCTGGCCCTGGAATCTTGGCCTACGGTAAAGTAAGAACTTATTAAATATCCTACTATTGTGTAAATTTTTCCTATCAATTTTAAAAGATTGATATAAACCTGATGTGCCTGCAGCGCTATTTAAATGTGATTGACTAACTTCAGCGAGTATGTTCAAGATATGTTCCGTTACTGTCGTTCATGTGTTAAATCTATAGTTAAAATTGCATTTTGAATAAAACTTATTACTTAGCTATACAAATTATTGTTCCGTGCGGGATTCGAACCCGCGGCCCCCAGCGCTGTAACTCATTGCTAAGCCACTGCGCCACGGAGCCGTCGATATTGATGATTTTTTTTTGTCTATGTTTGAGTGGGTCCCTGGATGGTTTCAATTCACAATTGGACTTGGTAGGTGGCGCTGTTGTCGAGATTCAGCAACCACCCGTGCGAAGCAGGGTCGGATCGCTAGTTTTAAATAAAAATAATAAATGAATACGTTAGCGAATTTTAATTTAATTCTTGCTATTTTGCGACAGGTTAAACTGCAAATTGTATTTAAAAGAAAAAAAAACGCGACCATTTATCACAGAGATAACTATGTCTATGGCATTTACCTTGCAAGTTGAAAAGTTTTACTGTTACAGCCACACTTGAGAAGTAAACGAACCCTACAACTGTTACATGTTTTTATTTTTAAATTATTTCAGGATACCAACTACAGCCGATCTACACAGATGACCAACGACCAAGTGTATATTCCGAATGTGACTGATAAAATTATTACCCCAAACCCTTATGAAACTTATGACGAGATGCTTATGCGCTTGAATCACAGCCACTATGCTACTGTCATTCAACGCGCATTCAGACATTACCAATTCAGGCAAAAAGTGAACAATTGGCTTCAAGAATGCAAGTATGTATATGTTTTTAGATCAAGAGACGACCAGCACAGCTAGCATGGCTGGGGACAAAAAATTTATCCCCCGATTATATCCACTGATAAAAAATAAAATGATCTTGTCCTTATGTCAAAGCGTGACATAACGAGTAGACATATCCTCCGTCGGTAGCATGGAGCCAAATGAAAGATAAAAAATTATGCTTTTTTGTCATTTGAAAGGGACAATTTTGTCATAGTTCATTAGACGTGGGTTTAAGATTATATTCATACAAAAATCTATCTAAGTCTCTCATTTTATCTACTGTGGATATTATATCTATCGGTGTGCCCATGCTCGAAGGGTGGATAAAACGAAACATTTTCTCCTTTCCCCGGGGTTAAAATTGTCTCATGCCCATGCAAGCTCTGCTGGTAAGAGTGTCAGGAAGTAGATGGATGGAGGTGCCTCAGGATCATTCTTTTAGGCATTTCTTTACCATTATTTAGATGTGGTAGAGCCACACTGCAGCTATATTATGGTTGTAGCACGAATAGCTCGAGTCGACCTGGGTGCTGTGTGCTGTGCTTTCGTATAGTGTGTGTGGAGAACCGGAGACCCTTTTTAACGGAAACGAGGCATTCGATCTTAGTCCTCAGGGGTGACAACGCATCTGCATTTTGAATTTAATCGAGGATAAATGTAGATATCTATGGGCCACAGTATACACTTACAGTAGACTTGTGATGGGTTGTAATGATCATATGTCTTTAAAGGTAGTGATGGTGATTATGATTAATGCCCCCAGTACCAGGTGTCTTTCAACGTACAAATCTTAATGAGTATGGACAAGTCAGAGGTCACACGTCAGTCCAGGCAGAAATCTATACTCACACCTATACTGAGAGTGGTGAATAGTTATGTACAGAGGCTCAAAGCTCTCCGTGATTTTCATAATACACAAGCAACTCGATTTCGTCCCCGTTAATAAAATTGTTAATTGAAATCTTGAATGAAAATATTGTTGAGGAAACCTGCATGTTCGAGAAATTTAATATTTCGAGGACATGTGAAGTCCGCCAACAAGCATCGAGGCAGCACGACGGACTAATTAATTCATAACCCTCTTAGAAATGAGAGGTCAGTGCAGTGCGCAGCAGCGGACGTATTAAGGCCGTATTTACGTGTGTATTCCTAAGACAAAATATCTTACTGGGTACCAAAGTCCAACTTCTTACTTAATCAATCGACAAATTAATATAATTCGATTGTGTATATATATACCGCATCTTATCATGCGGTCCTTACCAATAGCAATAATTATAATCTAAGAAACTAGGATGTTATCCCTTATGGCTGACAACGTACATGTAGATATCATTCTTTACTTGGGCTTGGTTGCTAGTATCCATGGGTAGCAGCGGTTACTTGTCATCAGGTAGACTGCAAGTAACTGTCATTTGATTAAATAAAAAAATCATCTTCATCATCACAGCCCATCACAAGTCCTCTACTAGATATAGGCCTCTCCCAAGGAGTACAACAAAGCATGATCCTGAGCCAGCTGCAATCTGCCATAGAGGGGGGGGGGGGCGCTTTACTCTACGTTTACGTTTACCAGGCTGCCTCTCGAAAATATTTCTTCTTCGTGGGTGGTCGATTCTTCAAGCTATATGACGTGCTCATTTCCACTTCAGCGGTTAAACGAGAAATGAAACTGACTTCATTATGTCGAATATACGGCAACTATTCGGAGCTAAGTACTGCAAGACTAGTCGCAGAAGAACGCGGTCATTTTTTAGTCTATCCTGTGACGCAGCGAATGGAATGTTAGTGGTTTTTGCTGCTTGTCTTATGGACATCCCCCTTTCAACTACAGTTTTAGCGTGTAGTAGGTCTTCGCTTCAAGCCGCTTTGGCGGTCGTTCATTGGCGTTTTCTAGACATATCTATTAAAAAAATATAAAGCATCACTAAGGGCGTAATTGCGTTCCCTTAAGTAACATAACCCCAAACTAAAGTTTTATATCAGAGTTGTAAATAAAAAAATATGCATATATGTTTTAGTGTTTGGAATAAATACGAGCAATAAATAAATACTAAAACTTACTTATTTATTGCTGGTATTAAATAAGATTTAAACTTACTGACAAAAACATACCTACAGCAAAAATATAGATAGATCAGTGCGGTCGCAAACAAACGCACGCACCTTAATTTTCCGTGCTGCAAGCAGACTGATGTTACTTATCACTTTCTGCTCATGCGTCACACACCAAGCAGTTCAGACACCGTGAGGTTTTTCTATGCACCGTATTTATCAAGTTTATAAGTTCTTTAAGTGACCGGCATTGCCCGATGAGCGCCATTCCCAATGCTTCCCTACCATACGACGCACGACGAAATTTAATTTACTATGCTTACAGAATAAGCTGTAAAAAAATTAAGTTGTAGTTCACTGAAGATATAAAAATAACAAGTATTTTGTTTGATCGAATTCGACCATTTATTTGGTAAAGTTTTGTATAGAAAAGTCATATGATCTTTATTTTACCTACCCTAACAGCATCATACACACAAGATTTTTTCTGGACATCTATGCCACAGTGGCAGTGACGTTAAATAATCCATCACGCCATTTTATCCCGTAAGTAGCGACCATAGGCCATAAACTTCAAAAAGATCACTTGATATTATGTCTGGCGTAAACAACCCATTTACGCCAGACGTAATATAGCCAGGGAAGAAATGTTAAAAGTTTGGCACCCGATTGCCAATCCTAGCGTGGCGATCATGGCTAATTTTACCCACAACGGAAAATCATCGCCTCTGGGCATCTCTATCACCGTGGTTTTACCAGGTTCAAAAATAAGAAGAAAAAAAGTCGTGCTTTTAGTAGTATAGTACATTAACATTATTTAAATATTGTAGAGAAAGGATACAGAAGATGAATGAAGAAGAAAGACGAGAACGTGAGGCTATGGAAAGGCGTCTGCGTAAAGACCTCATTACTAAAACATTTCCCAAGACACGTGAAGACTTTGACCAACTGTATGCCATGGTAACATTCAACTTTTTTTATCATTTTGATTACTATCGTTAATATCAAGTATTTGTAAATTCATCCAGTAGGTAAGCATTTCAAGAATTTCCATTGCAGTAGACAAGTCTTTTCCAGAATGTGTCAGTACAGTATTATTTGAACGATTTACCCATAAAAGTTAACCCATACCCAACACGCTAGGAAAGTGAGTGCATGAGCACAGGGTCGGTATACACGCATTGGTAATCCCGCACCGTAGTAGTCTTTTTAACAGTGATAGAGCCACGTGGCGACTTTTGCTGTCGCACGGATGGGCTGCCTCGAACCGGGGTGGTACCACGACCTCACAGAGTACCAGCGTGAAGTAGAGGTTTACCTCTGCGTTTTGCTTGGTGAGTGCAGGTGGCCGGAGGCCCTTTTTACTGGAAATGAAGCATTCCATCTTAGTCCTCACGGGTGACAACGCATCTGCATTTTGATTTGTTATAGAGGATAGATGTAGATGTCTATGAGCCGCAGCAACCACTTACCATCAGGTGGACTGTGTGCTCGTTTGTCTCCCTTATCCTATAAAAAGAAGTGTAAAATTAGTGTTTAGTAATTATGAGGCATTTCCTACCATTAGTCGATTACTAAAATATTATCCGTCTATCAGTAGGTGCAGGGCGAACAGACGAGGTTAGAATTTTTAAGAATTCTTTTTGATACAATTTAAATTTACTAAAATTTAATAATAAAAATTAGAAGTTTTACAGAGGGAGTTGAAATTATATTTACCTTCAACGCATATAATTTTTAAAAACAAACTCATAATGAATCTAATTTCAGGTTGACCGTTGGAAACATGCTGAAATAGCCAGAATTTCAAGACTGCACTCTAAAGGTCCCAAAATAGCAGAATTTTCCTTGCTACTCGACAAAGAAGTAGAATTGCTTCGTTGCATAGAATCATACAGAGTGAAGGTAAGAGAAGACAACCGCAAAATGAAGGAGAAAAGGTTTTTAGAAGAAATATCAAAACCCGTTGCATGGTTCGGCCGGGATGGAAAACTTATTACAATGGAAACTGTAGAAATACAGAAAGCAAGGAAACTTAAAGAACTCTATAATTCCTTTATACGCGAGGATATGGAAACGAACGAAAGGATTGAGCTACTTGTCGATATGAAATTTGCTCTTCAAGAGTTTCCTCACCATTTAAGTGAAGAAATAATAACTCTTTTGGACAGAGAGTGTGATCTTTTAGTTAGAAGGTGCAATGATCACCAGCTGGAATTTTTGAGACGAAGAGTGGCAGCAAGTGTATTACAATTTATAAAAACGTCCGAACTAAATTCCGGTGTGACCAAGTGCAAAGACGTAAGAGATTTTCAGAAAATGGAAAATGGAAGATTATATTTATGTGAAATGTGCCATCAAGTAAAGTTGCACACGGAATTTCCCTTGAACGCTAAAATGAGCGGATTCCTAGTATGTATGTCTTGTTCTTGGAAGGACGTGTCTGAACGGTGCTGGATCGATATGACACCTTACAGATTTATACTGAGAGCTGTTCAACGAGATGAACGTCGTCGCAAATGCTGGAGCTCATTAGCCTTTGTTCTGCAGGAAAAAGATATATTCTTTATAGTGGAAAAGTTGTGGCATTCCCACTCCGCGATCAGCGAATGTGCAGACATGACAGAATTGAGGCTGTGTCGTTGGCATGTTAAAGAGGATTGGTCCCCGTGGAACTGTTTTTTAGTCACTGTCCAAGAAATGAAAGCGCATTTAAAGCTAGAAGATCCCGAAGGAGTGTACGATGAAGAACTAGTACGTAAGGTTCATAATAAACATAAACTGGCGCGTGCAAACTTTGAACAATTAATCTCTATTAACAAGCGCTTTACTGAAAGCGGTGACTGGCATGAAATTCGCGCTCCGGCTGTCGCTCACGTGGACGCAGTAGATCGAATAACGAATGTTTTAGACTAATATTTGTATGTTGTTTCTTTTTCAAATCATGTTATAGAATGTATTGAGTTTAATAATATATTGTATTATTAGATCATATTTACGTTTTTAGGGTTCCGTTGTCGTACAAGGAACTAAAAAGATTTTGACTACGTTAGATAAAATTTAGGAGGATATGACTAAATTTTAAGATAATAAATATTGTCAAGTGCATATTCAAACATTTTATCAACTTTACATATCGGGTAGGGTGATCATTAGATAGGTAAATATTTTAATATACTTAATACACTTTCCAATCAATGGGGGTGTTTTAGATATCTACACGCTTTGATGATCGTGATTTTTACATGTTTATAAAGGTATCATAAAATGATTCTTTTGAACCCAGGCTTCACTTGACAGTTTATAATTCGCACATATGTAAACATATCGTTTAGCGTAACTATAGTGGGCCAAGTAGTGTATATGCCCCTTTCAAAGGGGCCTCAAAATCACTAACTATAAATTTAAAAATCAAAATAAACCACATTAAAACAACAATGCCGCTTCTGGAAGAGAGTTCATCATAGAATCCTTCTTTCTCCATGACATCGGTCAGCTGCTTGCCCCTTGAGTTCTGTTACCCTATCCCGAATTTCTACACTTTCAGTTCACTATTCTATCTATCCCATTAACATCGTATAGTGGCTTTTGAAGGAATTCATAGCTCTAGAGAGATCCTCATACATTTCCTCTACCACTAGTATGACCTTCAACGAATACCGTTTGGTGATTCTGCGTATAAGGTACTCAACCATCGTAGACGCACTCTCTAATCTTTACAACTTTGTTAACGAAATACTTGTGTACGATAAATCCGACACCTCATTGGGAAACATGGTCGCCCTCCCAGTGATAAAACAAGTTGCAGGATTTGATGATTACCGTATCCTCTTCTTTGTCTCCCTTTCTTCGGACCTTAGATAATCCTATAATATCCCATCGCAACTTGTCTCTCTTCTTCTACCCCCAGGATCTTCTCATCAGTCTTCAGTGTGCGTTCGTTATATGTTGCCAGGTCGAGGTCTTAGGTGTCAACCGAACCTCCACCGGAGAATCTTAGCACCCCCTGCCCCGTATGGTCGCCACCGTAGCCAAGAATAGCGGGGCCGTCGGAGACAGGGGACCGTATTTTTGTAACTCTCGCCATGGGGAGTATATTGCCATAGTTGCCACGCTTGGTGAGCAGTTTGGCAACCGTATTATTTTATTGTTATTTTGCTGTTATTAGAAAGATGCTGCCGACCATGTCCTGCCTTAGTTTCCCTCTATCGCCTCTTACGACACCCACGGGAAGATATGGGATAGTGGATATTCTTACACCGCCACTACACGGGATGTACTTTCATTGTAAAATAAAAATAAATATGTTTTGTAAGATTTATGTCTGTTTTATTTAGTGTCTGTTTTATGTAGTGTTTTTTTATATATTATAATAATTTACTAACTATTATTTATTTATTTTCAATTATTTATTGCACCAAAGATATTGAACAAAACTCTAGCTTAATGCTATAAGTATAGCATTCTCTACCAGCTAACTTTGTGTAGAACAGAGTGAGTTATGGGCAGTTGGGTTTTTCTCATTTTTTATTAATATTTATGTTAATTTTTGGCGTACATTAAAGTGTTATCTATCTATCTATCTTGGTTGTCATAATCAAATCAAATTCAAATACATACATGTAACACATACGTAAATTATACACATACTTATATATAAAATATACATAAAAAAATCCGGAAGGGGAAAAAGTTTCTTCGTATCTTATATACAAATTCAAGACATTTTTTTCAATGTTTAATTATATTTACATAACTATAATATATAGGTGTGCCATTTTATTCAATAACGTGTTGCCATCTGTAGGTAGTGACATTATCACCGTTCCTTTGGAAATCTTGGGATTTTTGATCAAAAAAATGCAACAAATGGTTTTGACAGTCCTGTACAGTCCATATACAGTAAGTCGGCTCAACTTTGTAGGCTACGGACATGTTCGTATAGTTTTCTTTTAAAAACAGTTTTGGCAGGTATTATTCGCAGGTCAACAGGCAATTTGTTTCAGAGGGAGATGGAAGTAACTGTGAAAGAATTTGACATAAACCGAGAGTGATGACGCCGTGTAGTGGCGGTTAAGAATATCCACTACCCCATATCTTCCCGGGGGTGTCGTAAAAAGCGACAAAGGGAAACAGGCAGGAGATGGGCAACAGCATCTTTCTGATAACAGCAAAATACAATAAAAAAATTGCGGTTGCCAACCCGCTCGCCAAGCGTGGCAACTATGGCAAATACCCCCAAATGGATAAAGTTACTAAGAGACGGCCCCCAGTCCCCGGCAGCCCAGCTATTCCTGGCTACGGTGGCGACCATGGTAACGGTGTGGCAGGGGGTGCTAAGAATCTCCGGTGGAGGTACGCTTGCCACCTACGACGACTCGACCTGGCAACATACAAGGCACGCACCCTGAGGACTGACAAGAAGATTGTGGCGCTGGAAGAAGAGATAGACAAGTTACGCTGGCATATTATAGGATTATCCGAAGTCCGAAGAGAGGGGGAGGAAACGGTAATCCTCGAATCCGGCAACTTGTTCTATTACCGGGAGAGCGACCATCTGTCCCAAGGAGGTGTCGGATTTATCGTCCACAAGTCTCTCGTTAACAACGTTGTAAAGATTGAAAGTGTGTCGACGAGGATTGCGTACCTTACACTCAGAATCACCTAACGGTATTCGCTGAAGGTCATACAGGTTTACGCACCAACCTCGGCACACCCCGATGAGGAGGTGGAGGAAATGTATGAGGATATCTCTAGAGCCATGCATTGCTCCAAAACCCAATATACGGTGTTAATGGGAGACTTCAATGCAAAACTAGGCACAAGAGAGAACGCTGAGCTGAAAGTAGGGAAATTTGGAATAGGGTAACGGAACCCAAGGGGCCAGCAGCTGGCCGACTTCATGAAGAAAGAGGGACTCTTTATGATGAACTTTTTCTTCCAGAAGCGGCCCCACAGGAAGTGGACCTGGTCGAGCCCCGACGGTTCGACAAAAAATGAGATTGACTTCATTATGACGACCAGACGACAACTGTTCAGTGATGTCTCAGTGATCGCGAGAGTGAAAACCGGCAGCGATCACCGAATGGTCTCGTCTAATGAAGTCAACGCTCCGTCCCCCTCGTGCTCTAATCCAAAGTCCCGAAAGTTTTCAGCTCGAGTTACAAAACCGTTTTCAATGCCTAGAAGACTGCAATGAAGTGGACGATGTGAATGACAAGCTTGTGGAAACTGTCCATGCGGTCGGAGCTAAGTTCTGCAAGACACGCCGCAGAAGAACACAAAAACTCTCCGATCACACTCTCAATCTCATGGCTATTAGACGGGAGATAAAGCTACATTCTTCAACAGATTTGACAGCATACAGGCAACTAAACAGACAGATCTCCAAATGCATGCGGCGGGACTTACGCAACTTCAATAAGCTGTATTGAAGAAGTGATCGAGCGGAACCAAAGCTCCAAAGTCTTTGCCAGAGATCTGTCTGCAAAAAAGAGCCAACTGTCAAAGCTGAAGACCGAGTGTGGCAGCATCGTTTCCGGGGCACCTGAGATTTTGAGTGAGATTGAGAGGTTCTATGGGCAGCTGTACACGTCATCGTTGGAGCCACACGCAAGTGTGAGTAACGATCCAAGAGCGAGTCTTATCCGACACTATTCCGAAGATATCCCGGACGTCAGTCTGAGCGAGATTAGAATGGCTCTCCAGCACCTTAAAAATGGCAAGGCCCCAGGCGAGGATGGAATTACAGCGGAGCTTCTGAAAGCGGGTGGAAGACCGGTACTTGAAGTCCTTCAGAAGCTCTTTAATTCCGTCCTCCATGGTGGCATTACACCGGAGGCGTGGTACAGAAGTCCGAAGAGTACAATTTGCCACTATGTCTGGCATATGTGGAGTATGAGAAAGCCTTTGATTCCGTCGAAATTTGGGCGGTGCTGCAGTTTCTTTAGCGGTGAAAAGTTGACTGTCGGTATATCGAAGTGCTGAAGTGTTTGTACAGTAGGGCTACGATGGCTATCCGAGTACAGAACCAGAGTACGATACCTATCCAATTGCAGAGAGGTGTAAGACATGGTGATGTTATATCCCCGAAACTCTTCACCGCTGCATTGTAAGAAGTTTTCAAGCTTCTGGACTGGAAAGGATACGGTATTAACATCAATGGCGAGTGCATCACTCACCTTCGATTTGCCGACGATATAGTCCTTATGGCAGAATCGCTGGAGGAGCTAAGCATTATGCTCAATGACCTCAATAGTGTCTCCCAACGAATAGGTCTTAGGATGAACATGGACAAAACAAAGATCATGTTTATTGTCCATGTCACACCTATGCCGGTAGTTGTTGGGAGCACTAAGCTCCAAGTTTTTGACGAGTATGTTTACCTGGGACAAATAGTCCGACTAGGTAAGTCCAACTTCGACCGAGGGGTCAATCGACGGATTCAACTCGGCTGGGCAGCGTTCAGGAAACTACGACACATCTTCTCGTCAGACATGCCTCAAAACCTTAAAACGAAATTGTACAACCAGTGCGTGTTGCCAGTGATGACTTACGGATCTGAGACGTGATCCTTCACTGCTGGCCGTATGAGGAAGCTCAAGGTCGCTCAGCGAGCTATGGAGAGGGCTATGCTCGGGGTTTCTCTGCGTGATAAACTTAGAAATGAGTATATCCGCAGTAGAAACAGAGTAACCGACATATCCCAACGGATTGGTAAGCTGAAGTGGCAGTGGGCCGGCCATATAGCTCGAAGAACCGACAACCGATGGGGAAGAAAGGTTCTTGAGTGGCAGCCTCGTACCGATAGGCGAAGTCTAGGGCGACACCCCACGAGATAGAGTGACGACCTGGTAAGAGATGCAGGAAGTCGATGGATGCAGGTGGCTGAGGACCGTGCCTTGTAGCATTCCTTG